CCCACTGCAAGAGAGACATGGACACATGAGAGAGAGCCCAGTGAAGGGCCACCTAGATGACAAAGAGACTGGAGTATCTTCTTCTGGGGAAGGTTTGGAGGGGATCTCATCAATGTACAGAAATCCCTGAAGAGACGGTGCAAAGAGGTCAAAGCCAGGTTCTTTTCAGTGGTGCCCAGTGACAGGACATGAAGCAATAGACACAAATTAGAACACAGCAGGAGCCTTTACCCACAGAGATCTTCAGAAGCTTCTTGGACAAGGTTCTAGAAGGCTGCTCTGAGTGGCCATGATGGAGCTGGGTGGGGGGGGGGAGGTCCAGAGGTCCCCTCCAACCTCAGCCACTCTGAGGAACAGCCTTTCTGAAAGGAGAAACAAACAGACTAAAAAACAAAAGCCTGAAGAGAGGAGATAGCATATGCTGTAGTACAACCTCTATGTTCACTTTGTTGCAAGGAAAATATCAGTACCAATGCAGGCTAGTCAAAGAATACAGTTTCAGAAGTTAGCCACTGTGTGGGAATCCCAGCATGCCTGTGAGCCAGTGCCCTTCTTCCTGTCCCCAGATATATCCAATTCTGCTTGTTTTCTGGCTGTAAGACCTACAGTCTCATATATAGCATCAACACAATTTGCAGACTCAGAAGTACCCAGCACAACCAATGAAAGCTGCTGGAGAATGAATACTGCCTCTGGCAAAGGTGTGAACTGCCTCTTCCATTCATCTTCATACATGAAGGCCTGCATCCTGCAAACATGGCAAAACTAGTCTGCTTAGATAATTCCCTCAGGGACCACCTTTTAATCATCTGTATGCTTATGTGGAATTTAATCTAGATAGCCTTTATACAAAGTTATCTTCACATCTTAGTTTATATTGGTTTCTCTGTACACACAAGCTTTCTGTGTCAGCATTAGTCATTTTCCAAATTATATCCATATACACTGAAGAGTCAAAATGTAATTCTGCAAGGCTATATAGAACATCTGTCACATAACATCTTGGGCAAAACTCTGAATTCACCATTTCCATGTTTATGTTCCCTGTGGATTAAGTGAATTCTCAAATGAAAGCAGTTTGCAAGTCATGAGACATTTAATAGGTCACTTCTGCAAAGTGTTTAGTTTATTAAAACAGAAACACGTGGTCCCTTCTGCATGCTGCTCTAAATTTTATTCATTGATATTAAGGATACTTGTGGGGGCAGTGCAAAGAAAGGATGGGAAGAGGCAGGCATTTTTTGAAACATACCAATGGAGCAATTATTGTAAAATATACCTGTCAGTCAAATGACATTCGGGTTGACTAAATACTAGGCAAGAAGTTAAATTAAGCAAGTGCTCTTGAATCAGCTAGAGGGTACTTAGAACAGCAAACATGCCTAGGGGTACAGAAATTACAAGCAATCATTTCAGTAGTTCTGGCCAACCTATCTAGCAAGTTTGGAGATTCTTTAATAAAAAAAACAAACCTGGATAAGGATGTCTAATATAGAAGTATATTCTTAAAGGAACTTAAGTATACAGTTTTATACAGTATAAGTTTTGCTAACTCTTCATTTCAAGTGTATCATTAAAACTAGTCATGCTTTTATTACACAATTAAAAGTTAACTAATTCCAGTCATTTTCAGTGTTATTTTATACGCTTCTGTTATGCTTTAGAATAGCTTAGCAGAGTAATCAAGGCCTCTTCATCCAAGAGCACCAGAAATTGAAGAAGTGTAAAAACAGAGACAAGAAAAGTCACCACAAGAAACGCCTTCACAGACTAACCAAACCCCTACACCAGAGCTTTTCCCAAGGCTTTCCCATACTCCAGAAAGACAGAGCTCTGCAAAACCTGGCTTATGCAGAAGCCAAGGCCAATGTGTTTCTGGAGAGCTCTTGTCTAATTTGGAGGTGGCTCCGGGTCTTCACTCAAACACAGAGAACGAGAGCGATCCGTGCACAGAGCTCAGAGTTTTTTGATGCCGAGAGGTTTGGCTTTCAGCCAGCTCTGTGCTCCTGACACCTCAACAAACCAACCCAACAGCTCTCCTGGAAAGTCAACAGAGGCTGGAGGTGTTCGAAGCCTCTCAAGGTCACCCTTCAGGAGTACTCAGCCGTGTCTGGAGAAGCTGACCTATGAATTATTCTTTACCAAGAACACAACTACAGGAATGTATAGTAAATGCAAGAAAGGCATTTACAGACACCACAATAATGCCACAGAGCCTTACAACTGCACAAAGACCTGCACAGTTAATGTGGTGAGAAGACTGAGTGCTTTCTTCAACACTTAGAAGGGTGAAGAAAAGAACTTAAGAATGAATAACAGATTTCATCAGTGCCTGCTTAACAAAAACAACGGCCATTAGTGACAGATTCCATGGAAACTTCTCCAGCAGGTGTCACAGAGCTCACTTCTGCCGAGTGTTCTTACAACATTTTTATGTAGCACTAATGTCAAATTAATAGGCAAGTATTTTTACCTGGTGTAATTACAGCTTAGAGTTTTTCAATCCATTATGTGTTGGTACCCTGAACTAAGCCAAAGCATCCCATTCAAGACTCAAAATAATAATAAAAAAAGCTTATAACTGTAACCAGTAGGGGTCATTTCAGTGTAAAAAATTGCAGTGAAAGAGAAGGCTAGAGACAGTAAGGAGAGTAAATACATCAGTTTCTATCCATAGGGTTCTGTAAGTCACCTCCATTTCTCCCTCCCTGAACTAGAGTAGGTAACATAGGGCTTTCACTCCCAATAGATAGTATTAAAAGGAAAGCAGCCTTTATTCTATTAGCAGATAAATGAAAACCATCACTCAGTGCTATTAATTCATCAGGTATACAAGCCCAGCCCATTTCATGAGTGTTGGTAAACTGCCCAACAGTTTCAGTCACACCAATTAAAAACACAGAGCTAATCAACTTTATTTCAGAGAACAGAGGCAGCACATTAAGTCCTGTTTTTTTTTTTTTTTCCCCTTGCTGCCACCAAACACAATACATGCTGTAAGAAACAATGAATTTGCTTTTGTTGCTTAGAATGAGGCAGTTTCCTGACAATTCCCTAATAGGTATTCCAGTACTATTTATTAGGCTGACAGTTCAGCTCAGTTACTTTTCATTTACAAGAATGAAAATTAAATAGATAGCTTATCTCCCCAACTATTCCTATAGGGACAGCTGGAACTAGTTTCTAACCACAACACTAATTGAAATGCAATCTTGCCAACAAATGCTTCATACTATTTTCAACAGTAGATGGGACGTGTTATGAGTTGAACTACAGCAACGTACAGATTGCATCACTTCAGAGGAATGAAATACTCCTAAACTGCCAGAGACATCCATACTCCAATACAGTAAGGGAGCTAGAACATTGAGACGTTTAAAGACTGGAGGCTTTCAGATCTTTTACCAGGAGGACAGCAGTTCAAGCCAAGCATTTACTTAAAAACTATGTAAAACCAAAAAACCATTCAAAACTAGGTAGGTCTTTTGAAGTACTTTTCTATTTGAAAACAACTTTTCCAATACACACTAAAAAAAAAAAAAAAAAAAAAAAAAAAAAAAGGAGAGACTACAGCAACATATTTAACCTCATGGGCTCAACGAAGGTCTTCAAAGCAATTTAGAAGTATTTTTAATTCTTTAACAAGGCTTTTAACCCTGCAGCTGCAAGCAACAACAGACAGGACACCCTGGTTTGCTGTGGACTGCATTTTACCCCTAAGCGAGATGAATGGAGCAGGAGCAGCAAGTAACGGAGCACCTGTGCCAGAAGCAAGGTCAGCTGCCCACTGAGAAAGATCGGTTTTAGTTCTCTCAAAACAGTGTATCATTTTAAAGGCCAGGTTTTGGACACTCTGTCTGCAACAGCTTTTTGGACTTTCTACTGCCCTCTACCCGTCAAGAGCAGCAAGCCCCGCTCTTATTTTCCAGAATTGTCGAAGCTCACACTCGAAGTCTCACATACATTTCTACATATTCCAAACTACTGCTTATTTGTAAGCTCTATACAGCGCCATGTTTTCCCTCAGCCTGGGGGGAAAAGCAAGCTGGAGGGACAAAGCAAGACAAGAGAGACTGAAATGCTTCTCTTTAGCCTTGTAGGAAATAATATACGAAAGAACTCTTAAGAGACGCTGATAGATTCAACATTTGAAGAGGAGCTGCGAGCAGATCGCTTGCGCTTCACAGTAGTTCATCACTTCATAAGCAGCAGGCACACAGCTGGAGCGGCTGCGTGTTGTCCTGCCATGGGGCTCACTCCTGATGTGCAAAACACAGACATGCCTTATCGTACAGCGAGCGTGTGTGGGCAGACAGGCGGGCAGATATTAAGTGACAGGAACAGGAAGGAAAAACTTTACAACAGATGATCAGCCTTTGTGTTTCCTTAAGAAGAAGGAATCCGGAACAGACATCATGTGTGCAGTGCTGACCTCCCCTGATCTCAGGCTGGCAAGCTGTCCCCAGGTTCTCTCTTATCAAGGAATTCTAACGGGGTACTAACAGCTGGCTGGCTTGACATAAACTATTAACAAGCCAGCGAGCTGCTACACGGAGAACGAAATTGGAAGAGCCTGACGTTACTGCAAGCTACCAAAACTAAGGGTGAAACTTTCAAATACTCTCCTCCTCAGCGGAACGGCTCGGAAGACGCCCTCACAGTAGACCGGGGCGGGTAGAACACGGCAAAACACAAGAGCACGCGAAGCGACGCGGGCAGCTCCGCACGCAGCGCTCCGATCCCGCTGCGTTGCCGCGCGGGGGAAACGCGCCGGGGGCACCGGCGGAGGAGGCAGGGAGCGGCCGAGGCATCCTCTCGCCGCGGGGCTGGGGCTGCTCGTCCCGTCCCGAGCCGGCGGCACGACTGCGCGCTGCCGCACGGCGGGGCGGTGCGGAGCTCCGCACCTGGGACGGGGAGCAGAGGGAGAGAAGGAAGGAAGAAAGGAAGGGAAGGAGGGAGAGAACGCGGCGCTCGGAGGGCAGGGTCCGGCCGCCCCTCACCTTCACAGACGCCCACTTCGTACTCGGTGATGGAGTCGCCGTTGAGCGGCGGGCGGATGACACAGCGCAGCCCCCGGTCGCAGGCGCCGTGCAGCCCGTAGACGCCCCCGCAGCTCTCGTTGCGCTGCCGGGCGCACATGTAGCAGCAGCCGCAGATGCCCAGCACGATGCTGCCGGGGCAGCTCTTGGGCTCCTCGCACTTGGACTCGTCGCAGGGCAGGCAGACGAGCGCCCGCGTCCCCGGCTGGCCCAGCAGCAGCGCCAGCAGCAGCAGCCACCCCGCCGCCGCCAGGTGCCAGCCGCCGCCACCTCCGCCGCCGTCTCCGCCCGGCCGCCTCCTCCCCGCCGAGACCGCTGCCAGGTACATCCCGGCCGCCGCCGCCCGGCCCGCGCCGGGGGGAGCCGCGCCGGAGCCCCCGAGCGCGCCGCGAAAAGCCGCCGAGCGGCGGCTCCTTCCCGCCGCCCCCGCCTCCGGCCCCCCGAGGAAAGTTTCCTCTCTCGGCGGCGGCCGCTCCAGCCAAACTTCTGCTCCGGGCGGCGGCGGCTCCGCCCGCTGTCCCCCGCGGGAAGCGGCGTCCGTCGGTCCGTGCGTTCCTCGCCCGCCGGCTGCCGGCCCCGTCCACGCCGGAGGAGCGGCGATCGCGCGCGAGCGGCTGCGAGCCCCTGGGTGCGGCGGCGCCTCTGCCCCGCTCGCAGCCCGAGTCCCGACTCGCCTCCTGCCTGCGGCTCGCCCCGCTCCGAGTGCGTCCTCCGCCCTTCCCCCATTGGGCGGCGATCGCCCTCGCCCCGCCCCGCCTGCCGGCTCGCGCCTCCTCATTGGCTGCCGCCTCGGCCGGCTCCGCCCGCTCCTCCCGCCGCCCCAGATGCCGGGGCCGGGGAGAGACGCAGCAGAGGCGAAGAGCGGCCTGGGCCCCACGGCGGCGGCGGCCGCCCCCTCCCTATCGCCCCTCCCCTCCCCCGCCTGGAGCTCCGGGCTCGGAGCGGATCGAGGCGGGTTCGCCAGAATCCAGGCGCGGGCCGGCGGCGGCCGGAGGGGAGCGCGCGCTTCCGAGGGACACCGGGGCGCAGTGGGCGCGGGCCCGCGGTGGGCGCAGCCACGGTGGGGGAGCCGCGAAGGGGAGTCGGGGCCGCGAGAGCCTCCTCCTCTTCCTCCGCCTGTCCCCCTGGGAGCGGGGCGCCGGGACGGGGAGCGCCTCCTCTCCCGCTCGGCCCCTGCGCGGCGGAGGACGAGCGCCTCCCGCTCCGTCCCGTCCCCGGAGCCCGGCCCGCTCCTCTAACTGCCCTAGCGGCCGCTCCTCGCGGCTCGGCCCGCAGCCCGCTAAACAAGCCGGCTCCGTCCGCTGCGCGGCTCGGGCCCTGAGACGCGCTCGCGGGGGAGGAAGGCAGCGGCCGCCGTTGCGCTGCGTTTGCGGCGACGCTGCCGCCTCGGGCCCGGCGGAGGGTCCGGGGCCCGGCGCTGCCCGCCCGCGATGAGGCGGTTCGGCTCCGAAGGGCCGGCGGGAGGCAGCGCGCCCAGCGCTTTGCTGCGCTGCGGGCCGGGCCGGAGGGGCGTCCCGAGGGGCTGCGGAACGAGCGGTGGTGCCTACGGGCGAACGGCCCGCTTGCACAGCCTCCGGAGCTGCCTTCCCCCAAACCGGGCTCTCGGCAGCGCCCGAGGAGAAAGGTCATCTGCTCTGCTTTAGTTTTGTTCGCAGGGGTACCGAGAAGGCTGTGGGATTAACTTATTCCGCTATCAGAATCTGTGTATGATGTTGTGGAGATTTAGAGAATGAAGTAATTTACTCAGCAGGTGGGATTATGTCAGCTGCACAATGCTGAGCCTGGAAAGTCTTCAGTTGTGCACGCTGGTGCCAATGATGTGGAGAATTTAAGGAGAGAGGTTCTGGAAACTTAATATAGGTTATTAAGAAGGGTGCCAAGGTATGGATGGTTTCTCTAGTTCCAAACACTCATCCACTTTCTCAGAAGAGCCAGTTCTGATGTCAACTGGAGACCTGTTCTGGGAGGGCAACGTAACAGACAGGCTACCAGTAACAGAAGAAGTACTAACGTGAAGCTCTGTCAGCAATGATGCCTCTTTTTGCTGTGTCAAAAGCACTGTGATTGACTGACATGTATTCTAGCCCTCTAGTATCAAGGTTCCCTGCTACCAGCATAGGCCCATTACTGATGGAAACAATGCAATGTGATGCAGGAAAATAAAGCATTTCCTATGTTTGCCTTCTATATTAAAAATAATGTTGTTTTCTTTGTATCAGAGTAGCTGTCTGTACCCTGATCAATTCAGAATTTAATCTAAGTTGTAAAAGTTTATTTTTCCAGAGCTACAAATGTTTTAATTAGCCCCAATAGTTTGCAAGGCACTTGTCTTGGTCTGTGCTTTTTAGTACATCATTACTGTGATGAAACACTATCGATACAGCATACATTACATGGATTAGGGCTATTTAGCTGACATACCTCAAAGAGTAATAGACAATGAGAAGCAGCCATCTACTGGGCAGCAGTATTTGAACTGTGTTGTATTTTTGAACAATTTTGGGAAGTAAATGATAAGCTGATCTCATAAAGGTACTGCATTTTGGTATAAACAACACGTGCATTTGACAACAAATAAAGCGTGGTACATCGTTGTGTTCTGGAAAGTATTTAGTCAGGGGAGCTCTGAAGGTCATATTACACTTGGACTGAATGTTATGGCAGACTGGAGGTGTTGTATCAATGGCTGTATCAGCACATTAAGCAAGAACTTTTGTAAAATGCTGAAAAATTTTCACTATTTCCTCAAAAATCCCTTCCTCAGCCTCAGCCCACTGGCGTCAGTCTCCCAAAGCACCTGCAGGGGTCAGAATACTTTTAATTCACCAGAAGTTTCCACCAAAAAAAAAAAAAACCAAACCCAAACAACACTGTGATTTGGAAGAGAACAGTTTGTAAAAGCATAATGTTTCCTATGATCTGGAAACACTGCCTTTTGGTCATGTCTCTTACCGATGAGGCGTGTGATGGGGTGTTACCTTCTGTGTGTAGCTTTGCCAAGATGGATTTTAAAATGAGGCATGCAGTTCTTGTGGATGTATTTTTAAAACGCTATTCACAAATCTGAGATCGTGCAGACGGGAATTTTAAAGGCAATTTCAGCGCTAGAAATGATGCTGCACAATATAATATGTAATGAAAGACTAAAATTCAACTTGCTTAAGTTATCGAAAGATGCAAAGTGATCTAATAACAGTGCATTACAAACTTCAAGTTGAAAAAGGAGCTGGTCTGTGCAAAATATGTAGGTATTTTTCCAGGACTGGTGAACACAGCCAGCATGGAAATCCCAGACGTCAGATTGTACGCACAGGAGGCTCAATATTTCCCAGACATGCCAGCCTTATGAGACTTGTGCTGCACTGATGTGTGGTGTACTCAAGGCACAAAGAATTCATTGGACCTAATGTGTCTTTGCATGTGTGGGAACAAAGAAGCATTAGAAGCAGTACAAAACCAGATGAAGAAGAAAGCTAGAGACAGCTTAGATAAGAATGTTGTAGGGCCCTGAGAAAAAGAGAACAAATTTTTGAGACGAGTGCCAACAGAGAGAGGCTTCAGCTGTGAGCAGGATTAGCACCCTGCGTCACAGGCTGCTTACCCAATAATAGCTTCATGGGAGGGAGCAAAACACAGAAATATTTATGCAACAAGGACCAGAATTTAGGGTTCCCATACACTCACGCCTTGTCCTTTACGTGTGAGACATAAGCGACTCTTATGCTTGTATTTCCTTTTTCTGGCCCCGCTAAATTCTTCATTGCACAGTGGCACAGGTTCAACAGGAAAGGTAGAGGAGGCTCTTGCCCCAAATCTGAGGACAGTCCATAGAGGCAATGGAAATCCTTGGAAATCAGCAAATCCGGTATTTGCTGACTTTGCAGGGCACGTGAATTTTCCTGCTTTCTCCAGCAAGAAGCAGGGTGGACCCTTACAAGGAAATTCACTTGACTTACTGCCTCTTGATTTACTAAGGAGTCTACAGATCCAAATTGCTTCACAGCAAGTAGATTGAGGTACTGAAGTGAAATCCAGCTCTTAATTTTCCCTAGAAACAGTTTAGTAAATACCACAAAATACAGCTGTGAGAGGAAGAGAAACATTCTGATAAACAAGCTGTAGCAGCTGAATCTTCCTGGGCTTATTTTTCTGTAATGCTAGCATTACAACCGCTTCTAGGCTGGATGAAGTTGAAGAACTAATAGGAGTGGAGTTACAGCTTGGTCAGTATAGAACTTTTGCAAAACTGGGCAGTGCTAATGAGAAACAATTACCCCATCCACTAATTCCTCACTTCTGTATTATTCACTCCTCTAGGGCTGAATATCTCTGTGTGAAAAAGTGGTGCTCAGCATAAATGTCCAGATAATTATGATACTCACAGTAGTGACAACTGAAATACAGAGTTTGTTTTATGACACAGGTAGAGATAATATCTATAGTATGAAAAATGATTTTTTTTCTAATCCAAAAGCAGAACATCAAGTTGTCTTCATTTTCACCATTTCACATTTTCACAACTTCAACATTTGCTTTTACAGAGTTGGTATATATTGATTACTCCTTGTGAATCTCCTCTAAGTTCTGGAACAGTGGTGATTTTAATATTCAAGTTATACTTTTTTTCTATGCAAATGTTTCTTTTCTGTACTTCTTTGTATTTAATGTTGCACATTACATGCCTTCTCTATTCTTTAGTGGGCTAAGACCACTCTTGTCTCCTTTGTAGCAGTCTCTAGACATAAACTTTTCCATAAATAGGTTGTACATATGAGCAATTGGGTCTGCTCCCAGAGACAGTGATCAAGATGAAACCTGCCCCTATTACAAGCAGTGCTGAATCAGTCTAAAACACATGAGAATAATTTCTCTCTTCTGCACAGAAGTATAGAGTTATTGCAGTAGTAGCTGCAAGGTGTTTCAAAACCCTTAAATGGAAAATTGTGTGAAACTGCAAAACTGAATATGAGAATTCAGTTTAATGAAAACAATCTTTTTGAAAAAAGAATTGTTTAGAACCAGTTCCTAATACATACATACATACATACATACAGATATATACATATATATTTCCTGTCAAGGTAGTCCCTGTTTTCTTCAATCCTATAAACCTTTCCTCTCTGTTGAATTCTTAGCTTGGAATAACACAGTAGTTTAACATTTAAGTCTGGAATAACTGACAGACAGAAGTGTTTGCAGCTTTCTCCTAATGCATCTTGGGCTGCTCATATAGAACATACAAGTGAAAGGACCTGCTTTTTCAATAGAGCCAGAGCAACTGCATAAGCAATCTTAAAATAAAATTGCATTACTAATTTACTTCTGCATGCTTTTAAACAGATA